TGATAATTTTACGGGCTCAGGACACGCAACGTCTTTTATGGAGGGAAGAGGAGCTCCGATGATCTTCTCTGCAGTTCTCATTACTCTTATGGTAGTCTTTGATCTATAATTGCAGTCAATAGTATAAACAAATATTACTAAAGTATTGAATTTATGTTAACACAGCAGTATATAAGATTTTTTCCTAAAACAAAAAAACAAAAATACAGAGCTTCTGAGCTCCCTTGAGCTTGAAAAACCTTTAAAAAAAGTTTGTCCTAGCATAGAGACTTTCCCAATCACAATTTATTTAAACACAAACTTTGAGGGATATTGGTGTGATTTGTTGCCAACACAAACGGTGAATCATCTAATTGCATGGCATCTCCATGCATTTAGGTTTCTAGACTTGTGTAGGTTCAGGTAACACCCTGATTATCAAAATGGGCATTAGAGGAGGGGTGGAGAAAAGGTTTTCAGAACACTGCAAAGGACAGATGGGTTGGTCTGAATACTTCAGAAACCGATGGTCTTAGTAGACCATCGGTTTCTGAACCATTACTGGGGTTTTAAGGAAAACATTCCAAGAGTAACGATTGTGTCAATAAAAAAGACTAATTGATGTCAAAAGTCAGAGAACAGATAAAGGCGGATATTGTACTGTTGGTCAAATGGGCAAATTTTACAATTGAGGTATGCAATTAACAGCAAACAAAATTGAGCACATGAACCTCAGGCAGATTTACAACAGTAGAGGAAGAAAACTGTGTCCTGTCAGCTCACAACTGAAAAATTAGGCTACTGTTTAAACAGACTTACCAAACATTGCAAAACACTGAATCAGAAAATATAAAGATGCTGAGGAAGTAAAGTTGGAATTTGTCATGAACAACGTATAAGCATGGATCTATCCTGCACTGAGTCTACAGTTCTTGTCCTTGCTTTGGGTTGTTAAATACCAATTTGGTGTGTTTTAAAAGCTTCATCTTGCATGTGGATCATTGAAGATCTGATAACCAAAAGAATAATGCAAAATGTGACAATTCCTAAATAGTCTCAAACTACTTTCTTCAACATGTCTAAATGTTCACTGAACTCCACCCTCCCCAGACACAGATTCAACAGAGCACCTTTGAGATGTGGTCTAACAGGAGATAACACCACAGCAAACAGAGAAGCAAAAAAAATCAATGGCTGCGAGTCAGCATGTTGACACTTCTGATCGAAAAGGAATGCTTGGCCGTGAGCCTTGGAAGCATTTTTGCTGTCGCCGTATTGTTTAATGGACACTAATAGAAGCAAAGTTGTCTGTTATTCTTTTTCCTTTCTGGCCGTTTGAATTTCCACTCATTTGTCTGACATATTCCAGCTAACCTTGCCTGCCTGCATGGAGACATCAAGCGCATTCCAAGGGCCAACCCAATTACGGGCAGATGAGGGGCAGTTTTCTTTGTTGAAGAACAAAGCCAGAAGTGACACAACTGATCTTTAAAGGAAGCTCTCCCAGCCGTGGTTCAACAAAATAAGGCAGGGAGGGAGGGGGGCCCGGTGGACATGTGGGAGGCAACCAGCTGGTTATAAATATCTATTTGGTCGGTTACTGGAAGGAAAATTTGCAGTTTGTTTGTCATCCACTCATCCAGGTGGTGGGCCTGGTGGTTGCAAAACATCACAGAGCACATGAGAGCAATGGGGCCAACCTGTTTGAGTCGACCCCCAGATAAAAGTTCATATATAAAAGCCACATGTCATCCTTTGGTGTACAAAGGGAGTGGGAGAAAGTTCTTGGCACATTGGATCCATATTTAACCAGACAATTAGTTTGCCCATTTAACATAATGTTTTGCAATCTACAGTAAGAATAAAATCTGTAATTAAAAACTTCAGTTTGCAAAATACATGAAAGCACAAACAGCTAATAAACCCTTGGAGGTATGTGCGAAATACAACCAAGGTTATATTGGATTGGTTGTTGAGTTACATTAACAGTCACAATATCAACTAGATGCAAATACAAGTGCCTCTGTCTTTTAAAAACGTTACTTCTCCGGAAGCCAGGCTCTTTTTTCACAGCCACGGGTGGTGGTATTGGGGGTGGGGTTCAAATTTGACACTAAAAAGACAGAGTTTGGGTGGAGTAGGACTTTAATAACGTACATTGTGCAAGTAGTTGTTGATGGCCATAAGCGCAGAGCACTGGCCCACGGAGGGGTGGGACGAGCTCAAAGTTTAATTCCCACTCTGCAGTAAATTAGAGCACAGCGGGGTAATGTCTGTTTATTCCAAATACAGCTGCCTGGGCCTCTCTCTCTCTCTCTATCTATCTATATCTCTCTCTCTCTCTCTATCTATCTCCTTCTATCTCTCTCCATCTCTCCCCACAGGTCACACTACGGCCTCAGAATCACCTGGACCAGCTTACACAAAATGCATATAGTGTAAATACAAGCCCTGTGCATAAATAAACAACAAGGAAAAATGCACATGCTCAGAGAAACAAACACCAACTCAGTCATTTACAATAACATATACACATTTTTTTTAGCTCATGGACACTAATGTCTTGCTGACAAGAATTAAATGAGGAAATACTTCTCCCTCACTCACTTTAGCTTTGACATATGCATGGATAAAAGGTATTTCACAAGAGATTGGGCCCTTAAGAAGACTTGTTACATGTCAATTGAATTTTCTTCTTTTCAAAGTTCTATTTTTCTTATTCCTATTTATATGTTACAGTGTGATTGAACAGTTTGCGACTGCTAAAAAAAACCTGTGTGGTATCCATTTGAACATCTTAATTTAAGTTGTTTGTGTCGGTGAATAAAATTAGTTTGGAAAGCAAACTTACTTTGTTAAATCATTTGAAGTATATTTAAAACAGGTATTTGCTGACCTCTAGTGGAAAATCTAATTATTGCACTTTCTAAACTGTTGCTCTATATGAGATTCACCAAGTATATCCTAACTATATTAAAAAGGTATATTACTTTTTTTCGGTTTTCATAAACAGTATCTGTGATATTATTAGATGTATTTCATAAAGCAAATATATTTCAAGAAAGTACTTATTTGAAAAACTATGAATAAAATAAATTGACAATTGTCAGGCACAATGATGATGACAATAGGTCTAGGTTAAAAAGACTGACTGTTTACCAAACAGAAAGTTTAGGTGGAAGAGCATAATGTCAATGTGCAGGTTACCTAAGATGGAGAATAAAACCACTGGAATGTTGCTTTTTGGTTCATTACTGTCCTTTCTGGTGTCAAGTCTGACATCTCAACATAGTGATCATCTGGAAAGCTTTTGTCAGCTTTTGTTGTTCTGTTTTTTAACAAGCCCACAGTTGGTGCAACTATCTTCAATGAAATCTTAAAGCTCTCCATGGTTCCTTAATGAAAAAAGTATAAAATATGGAGATCCTAATTTCATTTGGTACTCTTTATCTTGGCACGCCATGACCAAAAGAAAAAATATCTGCTTCAATAACCATTATATAACAGATCCCCATTGGTGAACAATGTTGTCTGACCTAGAACTAACAGAGCTCTATAAATATTGTTTTGAGGAAGATAAGAGACCCCAGGCTCAACAATGCTGAGGTTAAGCAGTCTTATTCTGTTTGGCATCTCAGCAGAACAAAAGGCTGATTGCCTCCGTGCCATGTTTAAATGGCGCAACTATTTATGCAAAATGAGCCCTGACTCAAATGTTTGGCAGATGGACATACTTGGCCATATGCATATTGGGTTTTCATAAGCTTTTTTTAAATGAAAATAAGCTAAACTAAATGATATTTATAACATGTCTAAAGATGAAACCTTTTTTAAGGACATAGATAAAGAATTGGGAAAACACTTGGATATAATTCAGCTTTGAATGTCTCTGATGATTTTGCAGACTGATTGAACTCTATTTGCTTTATTTAATAAAGAAATAAAAAGGAGAGACAGTCAGGCAGATTCACCAACTCCTAACTAGATTGTTGAAATCTGCATGCTGGAAAAATGAAGACATATAATAAGACTGCAGAGGAACCAAATGGAAGAAAATGGCACTAGATAGTGAAAAGGGACAAGTAGCACAGAGGGCTTAAAGGTAATAATGCATGCTGAGATAGACATTTATCAAAGCATTTGTTACTGGGTTTGTTACAGTTGTTTTAAAAATGTTTATGTGAATTGAAAAAAAATTAAAACAATGCTGGGATTATTAGTCAGTGAAATGATTACATGGGATTATTTTCAAACTACATCCTTTCAAAGTTTTTTTGTTAAATAATATTCCAACTGATTGTGATGTATGTGTAAAAAAGAGGGACTTAACAGTTCCATTCTGTTTATGATAAAATGATCTATTGATTATTGCATTTCCATTACAATAAGGCTTAAAACAGGCAAATAGTAAGGTATGTTTCCAAAAATACTAAAGTTATGTAATTGTCAGTATAGTTTTAATGATTAGGTTACTGTAATAAAATCCATTAATTCTAAATCTTTTGTAGAACTTTAATAACTATTTCTCAATAAATAAAAATGTGATATATCCTACAGTGCATAATGAAATACATTTACATTAGGCCTAAATGTTTGTTTTGATTATGAACTCTTATATTTTTTAAATTAAGAATTAAACATACCTCATGTCAAAATACTTGAAACAATTGACAAATAAATGTGCAGTTTTGGTCTAATGAAGAAATTCCTGGCAAATAAAAGTCCTAGAATAAATCAACGGTTAACAGTACAGATAACAAAATTTAGAAGGTTTACAATAACGTTAGGTTATAAAATATGTAAAAATACCAAACATTTCACATTTTATACAATGATTAGTTTCATATTTTGGTCTCTTCAGATTACCAGTTTAAAATGTCAGTACTTGGCGCCCTCTAGTGTACAAAGTCGATCTGTGCATTTTCACCGAAGAGGAAAAAAACTACAATCACCTCCGTACCATTCGCTGAAATTCGACGTGCGCGTTCGCGTAATTTTTGCGTCAGCTGCTATCTTGCGCACGCGCTTTAACTGAAGCAGTGGCGAGATTTGTTTTTAAATGGAGGAGTCTCTGATATTCTGTTGGGACCAGGGATACTCAAAGTACGGTAATTGCACCGTTAAACTGGACTGAAGCGATTTGATATAATTTAGGAGGTTTAAATCAAGTTTACATCGCATGGCGTAACAAGAGAAACGGTGTTCCTGTAGGTTCTTTAGGTTTAGTCTCCAACCGGCTTCATTAGCTTAGCAAGCTAGCATAGCAGCCAACAGCTGTGCTGAGCTAAGGGGGGATGCGCTGGAAGGTGTTGAGGTTTTCTTTTAGGGTCGTTTACACGACTTAGTAACATGAATTCAAGTAGTTTCAGCTTGTCTGAGGTAAAGTCTCTGCTCAGATAGTTATGAGCAGTTTTAACCAGAACCTCCGCTTAAGCTCCTCTTTCGGCGCAGACGGTCCAGCGGTCGGCACTGACCCCGGGAACAAGGACTGGGTTCTCGGAGGCGATGTGTTTTCCTGCTGTCAAGAGATGAACCTGATGGACGACTCGGTGCAGGCGGGGATGTCGTCGGTCCAGCCGGGACTGGACGGACACCTGCCGCTGATACGTGCACAGAACCACGGCTCCCAGGACGGGATCTTTTTCGAATTGGGCTCCCCGGACGACTATCTGGACAGCAGCCCGATAGAATACCGGGAGCCCGATGGGAACGGCATCGGTCCGCTGTTCGAGAGGAGGAAGAGGTCTCGGTCCAACAGCTCCAGACACAGGTTCAACGAGGTGGTCACGGAGCTAGTTCCGGAGGAGGTTCGCTGGTTCTACAAAGAGGATAAGAAATCGTGGAAGCCGTTTATCGGACACGACTCTCTTAAAATCGAGCTGATGTTTCGGAAATACTGTGAGCTGAACCCCGGTGCTGTTCGACCCCGGGTTGGCGGCGGGGAGGAGGAGACCGGGGCTAAATGTGCGGAAAGCCCGGGGCAGAACGGCGCAGAGGCCGCGGACACTGGGACCAGCAGCGTGGACGAAGGCCGCGGGTCTCTGGACACATCTACGGTGTCCTGCGATGTTAGCGACCCGGACGGCATTGAGATCAACGTGGAGCCTGTGTGTGTTCGGGGAGGCCTCTATGAGGTGGACATTAAAGAGAGGAAATGCTACCCTGTCTACTGGAAGCGTGAGTTTCCTCAATCACTCAGATCTGCCTTGGTTCTGTAGTGCTTCACTGAAATACATCATCAAGGACATTCACATCATATATATTTAATAATCTGCAATATTAAGCTGACAACATGCAGATCACTGGGCAGCTGCTATTCATGACAATCCATTCCCTCTGTTAATATGCAACTTATTCTAAATGGATTATTTTGCTTGATCCACTTGTGAAATATTAAAATATTTAGTTGTTTTTTTAGTATCTAATTGACAAGAACTAAATCTGTAGGAAAATATGCTTTCAAAACATTGTTAGAAATTCACCCACACACAATTGGCAGTTATTTTTTCTGATGCTATATATTTTTTTAAGATATTTGAATAACAGAAGATTTATTGGTCACTATAGAGAGGAGTTCAGCTTGATCCCATAATGTTGTGCTTTAAATTATTAAATTCTGGTGCAGTTCCAGCTTATCTCCTTTAAACAAGTGACAAGTTGCCTCAAATGATGAGCCAGTATTATCTACTGAGCCCTTATCTCAGTTCTTCGTGTTTTTTTGTTTACTTTAAATTTAGGTTGTTATTATTGAAACAAAATATGTGTTAATATACATATAATCTTGCACAGAAAGGATCTTTTTTTTTTTCTTTTTCAGAGTGTGCCTAATTAGGTATCAGCTATTATCCTCTAATTCTCCTGGGAATTAAGTCAGAATAGTGTTCATAATTTCGCTCTAGACTGTAATGAAACCCGACCCGCTCTGTTAAACACAGAGGCTCACTCCTCCTGGATTTGACTGACTTATTTAATTAAATGGCAATCCAGTTTGCCAAGCCTCGTCTAAGATGCCACGGGACAGTGGGTCATTTCCTAGAGAAAGATGTGAGTTCTGTTCACTTTATTGTATTCATACACGACACATTTACTAAAAACGGTGTTTCAAGGCAAAACAAACGCCTGGACTAATTGGGTCCGATCAGGATTTAATTGTTATAAATGGATTATAAGTCATTGAAATTGTTTAGTCAAACTCTTATCTGTTGAATACAGTGCCATTTAAAATCTATTCTGATGTAGGGAATTAAAGTCGATAATTTTAATAACAAATGGCAATAACTCTTTTAGAAGATAAACAAAAAATATCCAAACACCTCTGAGGTCTAAGCATAGAGATCTTTCAGTAAAAATAACAAAAAAAAATTTATGTCTGCTTCAGAACAAGACCATATTCCTGTGATGAGAGGGCAGTGGTTTATTGATGGTACGTGGCTCCCGCTCGAGGAAGAGGAGAGCGACCTGATCGAGCAGGAGCATCTGAACCATTTCCGAGGCCAACATTTGCAGGACACCTTTGAGACAGATCTGGTGGTCAAGACTGTTGATAGCAAAGATGGTGAGTACTGGGAAAGGGGATTTTTTTATTGTAATACTTCAAGCTGCACTCATAAACCCAGATAATAACTTTATCATGACAAAAAGGGGAGTAACTGTTTTGTTACTGGGTGAAACTAAAGTTTAGGGTCGAAGCAGACTGATTAATAATGAAACATATGGCCTATTGTGGTATTGAGGCCTTGTCAACAGATCTGAATCAGACAGGAGCCTCCATTGTTTCCACTTATCTTGTCATGTATGGTCTATCATGGTTCCCCCCACGATAAATTAGCCCTAGCTAAATATCACTTGTCTTAGACTTTATTTAAGGGCTGTTACATCAGTAAAGTGTAGAGCGAGTGAAAATGATGTAATATTAAAGCAAATGAGTGAGAAAGGAATTTGGATTGAGTGGAAAGAGGAACAAAGGTTTTGGTTTTATTAGAAAAAAAAGTGTCTCCAGCTAACTTTACAACATAAATGTCACAAACTCTAACACAGAGAAATAACCAAACTAAATCATATAATTGAATACTGAATCCTACTAAGGTGTTCAGTTAACTAATATCTTATAGATCAGGTATAACCAGAGTTTTGTGTTAGTATCAGTTATTTTGGAAATGATATGCTACAGCTAATAAAGACCCAAATATTAGAAGGACGCCTACAATAACGTCTCTCTAAGCAATAAAGAAACAAATGTCCTGTTAGGTGGCTGCTATCTTCTTCTGACATGTTTTTATCTAGATTCAGCGTAGCAAACATTGCAACTCTAACTGGTTGGCACTTATTTAGAGCCTGTAAACTGTCTCATATAAAACAGGTATTTAGGATAACAGAAAATAAGTCATTTGCATCATAAAGGGTTTAAGTATGAGCGTAAACTATTGCTATCTTCTTAAAAATTAAAATATGGTACGTTTATGGATATTTAGACACTAGACCACATACAGTAGGATTATACCTGAGCTGTGTGGATTTTAGATCTGAAGGATTTTTACTCCAACTGTGATGTGAATGAGACAAACTCAATGCATGGAAAGGGGGAAATCTAGTTCTATCCCATTTGTAACAGAATATCTGCTCTCATTTTTCATGATCCTCCCTAATTGAATACAAATATTAGTGGCTACAGAGCATACCTCCCGTTTTCAACGTTTATTTTTAGCTTAGCCTGAAAGCAAAGTAAACGATAGAGGTTTTTAATTCAATATCTTTGAGCTGATGTTGCGTTCTGTCTCTTACAGAAGATTACTTTTTCTTGTTACCAATAATCAGCTCCACTCAGAGCCACATGGAGACTATTTTAAACCACATTACATCTAAAATAAGGATTTTAAAATAAGTGCACTTTTAGAGATTTGCAGGATATCCTCTTGTACTTTCCCACTGAAGCAGAAGACATGGTAAAGATAGAATGATAAACTGATAATAAACCAACATTGAAAATATAACTAATACCTTGAGATAAGGATTGAAGAGATGCTTTGATGGTCATTTTCTGACGGGTTTGATAATGTTTCACTGTTTGTTTTTTCCCCCGCTGGGTGAACAGCGTGCTAAGCTGGTTGTAGAAACAATAGGGTGTGGACTCATCTTTCAGGCTTGAAGACGTCAGGGAAAATTACGTCAAGCATTCAGCCAATGGCATCAGCTTTGTTTTCTTTCTTTTTTTGATGAGGGCAAAGTAGTTATTTTCATGTATCCTACCTTCTTATTTCAAAACTTTGTGAGCCTGTGATTATGCGTAATTGCCGTCATAAACGTGCTTTAAAGAATGGAGAAAAAAAAAAATGCAGGGAAAGCAGCCTTTTATTAAAAGAACTCCTATATGCAGAACATCTAAATTCTTTATTAGCCATCTATCTAAATCAAAGGACCCAAGGCCAGTTCTATATTATTATATGCTGCACAAAGCATAAGCTTGTACGTTCATTTTGACCTCCACATACCTGTTCAGTGCTTAATAGATATCCCAGACATTACAGAGCACTTATTTTCAGTAGCTCCATCAGTGCTGTACAGATGGCTCTTACAGCACACACACTTACTGTGCGCCTCAGCACTTCTCATCAGCCTTTCCCCTCAGCTCAGCCAACTACTACCAACATTTGCAAGTCTGATTGCTGGATTATCGAGCGTCGACTGATTTAGTCAAATCACAGGCTTGTGGAATTTATAGTTTACATTCAAAATATCATCTTTTATGATTTAATATGAGCACATTCCCTGTCCTGTTCTGATTTTGTTCATTTTTATGCTGTTTAACTAAAGATGAAAATATACTACTGATATTGCACTGAGTGCTTCTTAACAGATTAAAGGCTGTAAAGTGGAAAGGAAATCTCAAATCAGAGGTTGAAGAGGAGTTTATAACCGCTTACAACCTTTTTTTTTAATTTGTCAGATAGTTTCAGTATACATACCGTATTTTCCTAACTATAGAGAGCACCTCACCATAAGCCGCGCTTGCAAAATCTTTTGGAAAAACTGGAAACATAAATATATAAGCCATGCCAGGCAATAACCTGCTAATATCTACTGAACAGTCTCCCACCAAACCTGTAGGGGGAGCTCTACATGTAGCCCATGGAGTAGGGGTATAGAAGAATGCTAGCTGCCGTTAGCTTGTTGGCTGGCAGCAGCAAGTGCTAATGAAAGATGGGGCTTCGTCAGCTCTTTATTTCAGCTCTGCAGGAGTTGAGCCCAGTTGCTTCAGATTCGGCAGATTTAATGAGAAAATGTGTGAATTCAGGACATTTGTTTTCCGTTGTGCTTGCTGCTATCAAATTCTTTTGCGAAATGAAAATGAGCCCCTTATTCTTTAATTTCCAACTTTGACCTCCCCCCTCTCTCTTTAGGGAAAAATCCACAGAAAAGCAGCACCTTCTTATAAGCCACCTGATTCAAAGCGTGGGAAAAAAGCGGTGTCTTATTTTCTGGAATAATATATTAAATTTTTTTAAATCAATCCAGTAAATTCCACGTTAGTTAAAAGATTTTAAATACAATGTGTCAGTTTTCTACTATCATTTTGATATTTCTACAGTTATAATTGAGAAGTGTCTAAGTTTACAAATATGTTTCAGAAGACAAATGGTCTGTAAAAGAACGTCTTAAATGGCTATGGGTTCACGAAGTCCGTTAGCATCAGCTCACATTACATTCTACCGCATTACCTTCACTTTTTAGGACCAGTTGCAGTGCCTTGAAGAAACTCATTTCTTCCCCACATTTTGTCACCCTACACCCACCAATGTCAATGCATTTTATTTGTTGAAACGACATAAAGTCATGCAAAATTGTAATATGAAAGAAAAATAATGTATTGTTTTGTTTATTTTTTCTACCAGTAAAAATCTGAAAAGTCAAGCTCTTTTTTTTTTTTTTTTTTTTTTTTTTTTTTTTTTTTTGTAGCCCACTCGACTCAACATCTCAGAGCTGCCTTTCACAGCATTAACAGCTGCAAGCCTCTGGGAATAAGTGTCTAATAGCTTTGCAAGCATCAAGAGTGACATTTTCGTCCACTCTGCTGAAGCTCAGTCAGACTGATTGGTGAAAAAAAGTCTGATTATCAGTTTTTTTTTTTTACTCTTGCCACAGACTACAGCTAAATTGGATCTAGACTTTGACCGGATCATGCTTACAGAAGAATATGCATTGTAGCTGTGGCTCTATGTTTAGACTGTTCTGCCACCTGTTTAGGGTCTTTGCTGCCTCCATTTTTCAGTTTCTCTTCCAGAATAGCGCTTCATTTAGCTTCATCCATCATTCCTGTTAACTCTGCCCAGCTTCCCAGGCCCAAAAGCATGATGCTCATTGGGGATCAAGTTTTTTCTTGAAAAGTGCAGATGTAGTTTTCCACCACTCTTTGTTTTTCATGCATATATATACTCCAGAGACATCTTTTTAGGTCTGATCTTAGCAGGGCACTTTCTTCTCGACATTTGTTTGTTACTTTTATCCTTCTAAACAGGAATTCTTACAGCTTTCATTCAGCAGTTCTTTTCTTCTTGTCACTCTTCTGTGAGAGCCAGATTTGTGGAGTTCACAACTACTTATTGTCCTGCTGGGAGTTTCATCCGGCTGCGCTTTGGACCTCTTCATCTCCTCCAGGATTGCCGTAGACCTCTTAGCTGGATTTCTGCTCAATGCTACTTTCTGTTTAACCTGTTATTTTGTGATTTTTAAAGCTTGCGATGTTTTATTACCCAACACTGGTGTTAACATCAAACAATTCTCCCCTGACCTGTCTGCATTTATTCTTGGTCTCCACTATGCTGTCTTTTCAGATTTTGTTCCATCAAACATTTATCAAAGTTATATTCACCTTAAGATTTAATATAGGTGTGATTACAAATGCTTGCCACACTTTTCAGATTTTCGTTTGTTAAAAAAAAAAAAAAAAAAAAAGCAGTACATATATTTGTTCTTTCATTCAACAGTTTTCATCATTGTGTTGATCTTTTACATAAAATCCATTCATGTTTTGTTATGATGTGTCAAACTGTGATGTAATGTATGAATACTTTAACAGGGGATGTTATTTCCAATATTGTCTTACAAAAAACAGGAAATCCTTTTTGTCCTCAATGGATTATAAATGTAGACTTAGTTATTTTTGATAAGTTTTCCATATTTAGGGTAAAATAGTTTAGTCTTCTGTAACCTGAAGCAGGTAATAAAGATTACTCACTGTTTGTTGGTTGTTAGTTCTCTCCCACCTGCCCCCTTTCTATCTCCCGTTTCTGTTCAAATGGAGTGGATATCAGACTGGTGCTAAAACTGCAGGTCACAAGCGCAAACGCTGCCAAGGTACTGTGAAATCCTACGTTTTCTGTTGTGTCGGCTCCTTCAGCTTCTACCCCTTATCCTTTAGACGCTAGGACTCTGTTGGGCTAGTTCCTCCTTTCTTTTATGGGTTAGACTGTATTGAAGTCTTCCATTTAGAACTAGACCTAGGCTCAGTTAGATGTGGTTGTTTTAAAAGCAGATTCTCCGTTTTTATTGCAGCTTTAACTGAGCCTAGTTGCTAGAATTCACCAATAGTGCTGTGATCTATAGTTTGGTTCTACTACTATTGCTGCTTTTTGGGGGAATCCTGTGCATTTCCTCTGCTGGAATAGTGAGTACACAACATGGTTCACTCAACTACAGTTAAAAGTTGCATTTAAAAACTCCTTTACTGGCTTTCATTCAGTTTCTAAGCTGTTACCCTTTTCTTTTGTTTTCTCCTTCTGGGATTAATACTGTACCTTTAGCCAACCAGCCTCACTAGATGATAGATTTTACAGAACGTTTTCTATTGAGAGCTAAACGCTACCCATGAGGTGGAAAAAAATACTCATTCTGAAGTGTCCATTTCTGCTGTTTGTTTCCTCGTATAAAGCAGTTGTTAACTTGAAACTCAGTGGGAAAGTCAGCATCAGCATAGACCCATGGTTCTTAAAGAACATTGTAGAACTTTGAAGCCATCTAAAGAGAAATTAAGAGCCTTCTCCCTTTCACCGCTATCCTTTCTCATCTTCATCTTTTCTGTCCGTTGTCTTTTTTTATTTTTTATTTCAAGCATAGGTCGAGGTCCCTATCATCTTTCTCACATTCCTGCTGCCTGGTCGCTATTTTATTTTTACAGCCATGTCTCAATACATAAGAACCTTGTTGAACTATTTATTTTTTTCTGTAATTTATAAGTCCTAAAAAAACAGAAAGATATAGATTCATTCCATAAAGGAAGATATATTTGACCTAGTCTGTTTATTTTGATGTTGAATGACCTTTGATATCTATTTTATTGAGATGCATCCATATTGTTTCTGAACTAACCCAGTGTAACCTTTAACCTTTCTGCTAAACATAAGGGTCAGCAACCAGTCAGTAAAGTCTCTCTTTTTACTTCCCGCATCTTTCCTGTTTGGTATCCACTAAAAAAATGACTATGAAGAGATCTTTTCTTCCTTTTAGACTGATGATTGTCTCCGTTCTTCAGCAGGAACACTACCAAAGGGGATTATAAAAGCTGTTTGACATTACTAAAAGACCTGCCTCTTCCTTAAAAGCTAATAGCTATCCATTACTGAAACTGCTCAGAAGTAGTTGAGTGCTGAGCCATGTTGTGATAAATAACAATTGTGTTTTCTTTGCCTTGGAGTGATTTTATTTGATTGTCTACAAAGAGAAAGCTAAACGTGTGACAGCACAAGACTTATGTTTAAAAAAAAAAAAAAACTTTCTCTTGTAGGTTCATAACCTTCAGTGTTGGAAAGTGATGGTCAGCTTATATTTTTTGTATTTTATGTATTTTTTTGCTTGTTCTCATCTGTGGTAGGAATTCATTTTCCTTCGGTTGGTGCCTAAAATTACATTTCCTAGCTAGGAAGTAAAAAACAAAACAAAAACAAATCATGTTTCTATAGGATGCTAAATTGATTAATGTGGGTGGGGCAAATAAAAGTTTGGCTTGTTTTTGACATAAGGGGAAAAAACAGAAGTTTCAGTAGGTACAGTTTTCCCCTAAACCTCCTTTGTAGGAAAGTACCGCTTGGAATTTTAAGCAAGTAAGACTAATCCGGTAAACTGCATTTTCCCAGGAACTTTACCTTCTTCTTAAGGATTTTAATTCCTCCTTTGTTTCCGAACAGTACAAAGAGTCCATGACCTATTTTTGGACAAATTCCAACATATTTAGCCATTTTACCTGAATGATCTTGACTGAACAGGGACATGCAGCTCAGCTTTACCTCTTTTTAGTCCTCCACCTTCATCTATTGCACCTGTGTAGGTCTCAACTGGTTTCTCTCAAGCCATAATTTTGCTCTTACTTGCTTTAGTCGCTGCATAAACCACTGAATGGGAAACTGAAAAAAAAGAATGCTTATTTACGTTTATGAAATATCTATTTGGAGATTCATAGCAGGACGACAAGCAAGAGCTGAAGTATGCTGTCATGCTGTGGGATTTTCTTTTTTTAAGCAGATCAAAGCTACATACTGCCTTTGATTGAGCCATTTGAAAAACAGTTTGTGGACTTTGTGCTACTTTGCAAAACAATCTAGCCTCAACTTTTTTTTTGATTATTTTCCTCACAAGTCTATTACTGCTAAACCTTAAACTAATAATCATTTTATGTGTAGCTTCTGTTATACTCTTTTGTTTTTTTTTTGTTTCCCTTTCACAAATTATATCTCCTCTGTCCTGTTGTCCTCTGTCTCCACAAGTTCATTCCTTGACCCCTCTCTCACTGCCCCTACAGCCATCCACCATTTGAAGCTGAGCCGCACACATGTGGATTGGCACAGCGTGGAAGAAGTCTACCTTTACAGCGACGCTACCACGTCAAAAATCGCTCGTACTGTTACCCAGAAATTGGGCTTCTCTAAAGGTCTGTATCTAACGCATCGCACTTTAATATGAGGCTAGAAGAATATGCTGCTTGAGATTAAAAGGAGCTTAAAGAAGATTATCACCATACTCTTAACTTCACAGTGATACACTACTTTGTGTTTTGGTCTAAAAACCCTGAAGGCTATATATTGAAGGTTGTTTCTAAAAGTAAAATGCAGGAAATCTATCTAGATGTCACTTCTGACACTTGATCTGTGTAAATGGATCTGTTCTACTCCGCTATACACAGTAAGATTTTACATTCATCTTTCTCTCTACCTTTTTTTGAAGGAGCTCTTATGAGTTACTTGAACATTCCCTAGTTAGCGAAGAGTCTGTCTGTAGTGCTAGCCAGACAGTTCAGCAGCTGCTATCACGTTTCCTTTTAGCACACAACTTGATCAGATTATAGGTTTTAAGTAAAGAGACGCACTGACCTGCCAGTACATTACACATGGTGCCATGTGACGCATGGCCACAACAGGACTCCTCGTCTCACCCACTAACCTCCTTGGAATCAATACAGCATGTTGGACTATTGAGTCTTTTTTTTTTTCCTGCATAATGTTGTCCACCCAAAACAAACCCAAACTTAAGAAACAAATTTATTTAAAGATTCACTCAATATTAAATAATTCAATCTTTTGTGCTTCTTGTTGCTGCAGCCTCCAGCAGCGGCACGCGGCTCCATCGAGGTTATGTAGAGGAGGCCTCTCCAGAGGACCGACCCCCTCAGACTACCCACGTCGTCTTTGTGGTCCACGGAATTGGTCAGAAGATGGACCAGGGCCGCATAATAAAAAACACTGGAATGTGAGTTGTTTGTATGTGATTTTTTTTTATTTAGATCTCTGTATTTGAACATTTCCTGGCTTTTTTTTTCTTCTAAAAGCTTCCTTCTCATTTGTGAAATCTCTACTTGAGCCTGTTTGAGGTTTAGATTTGCAGGAAGAAGAGCGATGCCTTTGTCTTGGTTCAAAGTATTTTGAACCTTTTCTGTTTCTGTTCTAAGATTTGGACTTTTTCTCACCTTCGTGCTGCTCTCTGTTTATTTCTTTGCTTCTTCACCTCATGCAGAAACAATATCAGCTTACCCTGAGGGGTGTTAAATGGTGTGCACAGCTTGCTCTATTGGCTTGTCTTTTCATCTAACCTGTTAAACATGTGGTTTATGTTGTTGAAGTTTTCAGAGATAACCTGCTGGGCAGGATTTTTGTTCTGTGTCCTAGAAAATGTTCCTTATGCTTTAATATAACTTTTAATGCCCCGCAGCGTCTTTTTTTATAATGCCTTTGGCATCATGGAGTGCAAAACGATAATCTATGGTTCCTAAAGACATTTATCTTTGGTTTGTAATCATTAAATTCTTTAAAGTTATATACAACTGAATTAAATCAGCTGGCTTAGAAGGATTTTCAGGCGATAAGACATTTTTGTTTAGTATCGTTGTTAGCATCAAGGAATAGCTTTATTATCATTCCTCTTTCTACTCTCTCTTTGTTAATGTTGCACCTGAAGTCTGTGTCTTTCCCTCATGCTTCCCTCTTTTTCACATTCTATCTGGTCTATACCTGTAATACAGGCTTTGTTTTTTTATTTTGGGAACATGCAAGCCATAGTTGTTAAGAAACAGCAATAACATTACCCAAAGTATCAGTCATATGTGACAGACCAAAGAGTAGTGGGGCATACATGTAGATATGGACATTTGTGATTAGCAGAGAGTTTTAAAATCGTTCAACTGCTTCCAGCTGCAGAGTTAATACTTTATTATAGATCCACTGATCTGATATAAATCTGTATCAGTCCCGATTTTGGAAAAAATGTGGGAATTTGTGAAAATGGGTCGGATCCATAACAGCAGATCTATTTAGTCTATTTCTGTAATAATTTAAGTTGGGTTAAAAATTCCCCTTAAGGTGAAGAAAGGTTTACCCAATAGGGACACCTCTCTTTGATTTAATCAGTACAGTTAATTTGAACTTTTTACACTTGTCTTTTTAAGTGTGGGGTTTGAACTCACAACCTCAGGATTCCAAGCTCTATGCCCTAACCACTAGGCCACCTTTTCCATGTGTCACTAAGTCTGCACTTGATCCTTGAACCTGTTTACACTCTCTGAGCAACCAAAGTAGACCAAGTCAGGCTGCTGGACATGTTAAGCCTGCCGCATATCTTCCTGTGGATTATGGTGCGCACACCTTCCACTGCCAAAACGAAAGATCAGCCAAGCCAATGTTCCACTTTTACTTTGTTTTTCACTTTGTGAGTCTTTTAAGCAATGTGACTGTCTTAAATTTTTTATCATCAGCGAAAAGAGAAATACCGGTAGTTGAAGTCTTAGACAGTATTGATTTGTTTTTGTTTATTCTAAGTTGAAGAGAGTTTAAATCTTGCTGCACCAACACAAAGTGTTGCAGACACAGCACATTAAATCTGTAATCTAGTTCCTCACTCCCTTGGGAGAGTGTTGGCTTAGTGGTTAGAGAATGGAGATTGTGCTCTGAAAAAGTTGCAAGTACCCGTTTCGATCCCCACAGCCTCCACTCTGGGTTCCTGAGCAAGACCCTTAACTCCACACTGCTCCCCGCAGAATGGCAGCCCAGTGCTACCCAAGGGGATGGGTTAAATTAAACCCAGAGCATGTACATTCCCCTACAGACAGTTGGGTAACATGTAGGTCCCTTTCCTTTAACAGCTACAGCCTGCATTTAAGAAACTACATTTATCTTTGTCTGTGAGTTAGATCTATTTAAAAAATGGACCAGAATCTTCACCGACAAAATCTTTAACAATTTACGAGACAAAGTTCCAACAAACTTCATAGGCATTCCCCATTCTCTGACACTGACATGAACTGGTACTTAAAGAAATGCCTAAAATATTCCACTGAGAGAATGTCCAATCCTGCCAGAATTATAATCAATCAACATTTTCTAGAATGTTAAAGGATGTTTCTCTTGTGTCGTATGAGCACCTGTTATTTAAAGTTTATAGTTTTTTGGGTTTTTTTATAGTTGTCATTTGGTACCAAGTAACCAATGATAACATTTGATCTAATATTTAAAGGTTTTGTGTCTGGAAAAAAATACAATTTGGTTGTGGTGTTTTAAAGACATTTTTTTCAGATAATACAAATTATTAAAATGACAAATCTAAACACAACAAACACTTTCATACCAGTTTTCTTCAACAAAGCCTTAAATTCTTGCAGTTGATCGAGCACCTTTAGCTGTTTACTGTGTTTGAACATACCACAGCAGGTTAAAAATAACAACATCAAAGCTTGTGTAGAAACTGTAATAATAATTTTAACACAGACTTTAGCTACGTCTGATGAAGATTCTTTTTAAAACGATCCACCTAAGTAATGTTCTCATGCACATACACTTTTTTTCTTTATTTTAGATTGCCTTTAAATCTAAAATGATTTCACTGTTCAATACCGCCATTGTTTACTGTCTGTTTATTGTGTTGATTTAGGTTGAGAGAAGGTGTAAGGAAGATGGAGGAGAAGCACTTTTCTGAGCACAACGATGAACACGTAGAGTTTCTCCCTGTGGAGTGGAGATCTAAACTAGCGCTAGACGGAGGTTTGTGAGGATCTTTGCATAGCACTGCTTAGACAGAGCAGTATTCATTGTTCGTTGTAAAACATATGGGGATTTATGCATACGTTGCATGTTTTCTTAGATACGGTGGATTCAATCACGCCAGACAAAGTCAGAGGACTGAGGGACCTCCTGAACAGCAGTGCAATGGACATCATGTACTACAACAGTCCTCTTTATCGTGACGAAGTGAGTCAGCTTTAGCTCATTGTTGTTGGCATCTCTGGTTGCCTCCATTTTCATTTAAATCCACCCCCTTTTTTTTTCTAGATAACTAAAGGACTCACCGAAGAGCTAAACAGACTATACTCACTCTTCTGTTCCCGTAATCCTGATTTTGAGGAACGGGGTGGAAAGGTGTCCATCGTGTCTCACTCCCTTGGATGTGTCATTACCTATGACATCATGACAGGATGGGATCCCGTACGCTTCTGTCTGCAGGAGCACTGCGCTGTAGAGGAGGAGCAGGATTTCCGCTGGATGTCCTATGAGGAGAGGAAGCTTTTAGAGGAGCTGAGGCTCACAAAGAATAGGTAGGATATGAATTATATAGCACATAGAATGGATATATATCGCTGAAGGTGGGTGGAGAATAAAATGGTCTTATGATGTTTGTTTTTTCTCAGGTTAAGAGAGCTGGAAAATCAACTGGTCAAACTGGAGGCTTCTAATCCTTCAGCCCCCCCAGCTCTTAAATTCAAGGTGAGGTGCTTTGGTATGTTAGCCTGATAAAGCAGACTAAATGGGAGATAAAAGGTAGAAGTTAGGCTGCCCCCAATGAATGAGACATTGGAAGATTGTTGATGAGAACAACTTGTTGTTTTTCAAACCATGTCTGTGCCTATTGGCCAACGCTCTGACCAATGAGCGCAACTGACTGTGACGTAGCAAGTGGGACAGGAAGCTGGTGGGGGAGTGTAAACAAACAGCTTGTCGCCAATACTGCAAATACGCGCTTCTCAAAACTGAATGAGCATAGAGCCTCTTCCTGCTCATGTTTCAACGAAAACCCCAAGTCTAATCCTTCCAAAACAGATACCAAAGCTGAGTCAAAAATCGCCATCAGAGCCAACGGTCCTTCATACACGAATATGCCAAGAGAGGGCCGCTGCAGACGGGTTGCGGTCAGCCCTAGCTGCCGTTAGCCCCTGAGCTCCGCTGATTCTCAACCTTTTAACTTCGGAAATTGTTTTTTTAATTACGCATTAAATCAGTAAATGTACCATATAGTTATGCTTTAAAGTATAATATTCTCTCCTCAATTTATCTTAAAATGTACTTTTATTAAATAACAGCAACAGAAAGAGAAATTTTAACTTTCAATGGAGCGCTCCATTGAAAGCTGCTGCTCCCGCAGTGCATGCTAACTTTCTCTGGGTCATGCAGCTTTGTCGTCACGCCCTCAAAACCCCGCCCACTTTGCATCCAGACATTCAAAACACACTCTGAGTTGTGATTGGCCCGCCAGATTTAGGGCCTGGGGCATTGATCGAGGCTAGACCAAACTCGAAGGCAAAAATGATTTTGGCTGCTGGCGTGGGGGGCTAGTTTACTAGGCTATTGGTATGTAGTTGAATTATGCAGCCTTGGTGAGAAATTCACACACGTTTGCCACAGTCATGAACGTCATCTTATGTTTCAGGGGAATGTTAGCTAATATTTATCTTGCATAGCGTCCTTGCACATGCGAGCTACAGTATAAACAGTATATACAGACTTTGTAAAACTGATTGCTCCAAACTCCAGGGAAACGATTTGGAGAAGGCCCCTTCTCCTTTCACCTTGGAAGGTCCATGCAGACAATGACCAATGTTTTTCTATATTCTAATGAGTCAGCTTTGCAAGAATGGTCAAAAGTTCCCATAAACATCCTTCCAAATTTAGTAGACAGCCAAGCGTTAAAGAATGGTATGTCGCTTTAGGTCAGGTCAGGTAGGTGAATACTGTTGCCAATGTTGCACAGTTTAGCCTGCATGTAAAATATTGACTAGTTTTTGAAGAAAATTCACAATAAGCGAATCAACTACTGATTTATATTCATTAAATTTCACTGTTATGTAGTCATTTAAACCTGGAAAAATGAATTTAAAAATCCTAAATCATGAAATTCATTGGCAGATTGTCTGCAGGTGTCTGACAATTAATGCCCTGACTAGATTACAGCATTGTGATTGGTCCCAGCCCTCAGGAGGATAAAAGCCACAAGACACAATCTCAGCTATAGCATTTAAAGCATTTTAGGTGTGGTGCTTGTCCTTTTTTTTTTTCTTGAAAAACAGGAATTATCCTCTAGTTTAACAGCAACTGTTGGCTGAAGCCTTTGGACTCGATTCTTTAAATACACAGTTAAAAGGACAACTATGTTGTGATAAAGAGGTGCTTAATTTAAACAGGTTGCATGAAATAAGTTGCCCAAGCAAAGAAATAAAGTGCTATTAAGAAAATGTTTATTTGTTCAAATAAATTCTTATTTACTGTAGTGGAAAGTTTCTGTGAATCTAAAATCTAATTTTGACTCTAAATGATCTGCTTTTTTTCTGACAGGTAGAAAATTTTTTCTGCATGGGTTCACCTCTAGCAGTTTTCTTGGCCCTGCGAGGGATTCGTCCGGGCACCAGCGGCCACCAGGACCACATCTTGCCCACATCCATCTGCAGCCGACTCTTTAACGTCTTCCATCCCACAGATCCTGTGGTCAGATACGCCCTATTTTGAATTTGACTAATTTCCTGCATTTTGTAGTTATTTTGATAAGAATGTGAAGCATAATCCTCTTTGAAGTAAACGACTGTTCTCTGTTCTGTTAAGGCTTACAGACTGGAGCCCCTCATCCTTAAACATTATAGCAACATTGCACCTGTGCAGATACATTGGTAAACAACTTGACCTTTCCTTTTTAATTCCTCTTTACAGGCACAAAATGGTAACAGAGTTTTTTTGCTTCGATCAAATGGGGTTTGTTATTCTCCTCAGGTGTAGCGCCTCTAACCCTTCGGCCTATGATGAGATCCGGCCTACCTTCCTCAGTCCAGTCAAAGATCCAGCTTCAGACACGGAAAGCATTCCCAGTCCGAGCACCTCTCCGGTCCTCGCCCGTAAACACTACGGGGAGTCGATCACCAGCCTGGGCAAGGCCAGCATACTGGGTAAAGGAAGCGTTTTCATTTTATTATTTCTTTGCTGATTAATATGTTTTTCACCTTAATTTAGTTGGGCTCATAAAGGTAACCGAGAAGTCTGATTTCATTTTATGGGCTTTAAAACCTTCTATAAAATGGCACTATAAATCTACAGTTTGGATTTCCCCTTGTTAGTGGCGCCATCAGGTGGCAAAGAAGGACTCCTGCATTTACACAACAGTCTAAGGCACACCTGTGCATTAATCATGGTGTCTAATCAGCTTCTTTTCATGGCAGACCTTTGAGGTGGGATGGATTATCTCAGCAAAGTAGAAGTGCTCACTATCACAGATTTAAGCTGGCTTGTGAACAATATTTGAGGGAAATGATTATATTGTGTATGTGGAAAAAGTTTTAGATCTTTGTGTTCATCGCATAAAAAATGGGAGCAAAGCCAAAAGCACTGCATTTATATTTTTGAGTTAAAAAATGTATGTATTTATGATAATATAATATAAAAAGCAAAGTTTAAGGCTTCATAACACTTGCATGTAAACTTAACATTTTAAATTCTTCCTTCATGTCTACCTGCAGGTGCAGCAAGTATAGGGAAGGGGTTAGGAGGAATCCTTTTCTCGCGGTTTTCCCGCTCAAACAGCCAACCATCAGTGTCTTTAGGAGTTGAGGGTGTGGCGAACGCTGAAGAAGAGGAGGAGAAGCGCAGTGAAAGCCAATCATCATACGGGCTTTCCACCATAACTCGACCGACTTCTCCCACTGCGGAAACTTTTTGTACGTTTTGTTTTTTTTTTTGGGTAAAAAACATTTAGCAGACTTTTTTTTTTTTAGTTCAGATCAAATTAGGCTAATTGAAAGATGAATTATTAAATTACACAGAGATATTATGTATTACAATGAAAATTGTTAAAAACTGGCTAAATGTTTTGATTGTGAGTACACACAATTGTGAGTAAATTAAGAGTTTATATATCTTATTAAATCATTAGTTTAATTGTATCTCTTGTACAGCCTAAACATTTCTATTTTATATATTTATATGTAGCCTCCAAGGTTTGAATATATAATTATTAAAAATGTAGTTCTGATGTTTCCATTTTAACTTTTACATTATTTTGGTTGCTTGAAAAATTACTGAAAACATCAATCTGGTAACAAATGAAAACAATCAAACCTCTATTCATATTTCTCAATAATGAATCGGTCAGTTAATTGATGGATCCCTGTTATCAACCTTGAGGAACCCCATATTTACAGCAGTTCCTGATCTAGAGTTATACCTTATAAACTTGTAAACCAAGCAAATTAGGTGATTGAAAAGACAGCAGCTTTGGGTTTAAAGCTGCAGCTAAAGGCATTTGGACTTCTAAAGGAACCCAGCGGGGCTTAAAACCTGTCTGATTATGCCTTTCTCTGTTGCAGTGGAGCTGGAGAGGCGCATCGACTTCGAGCTGCGGGAGGGTTTGGTAGAGAGCCGCTATTGGTCGGCTGTGACCTCACACACTGGCTACTGGTGCTCACATGACATTGCACTGTTCTTACTGACCTTCATATATAATAAGTCGACGCCCTCTGCGCCGACAGAACACACTCCAGAACCAGACTGAAGCATTTGTTGCAGCACACGCCTGAGAAGCGTGTCCCATCTTTTTTTTTTTTCTCTCCAAATCTTTCTAAATAAAAAGCAATCAACCCATCCTTTCTTTTTTTTTTTTTCTTGTTGATCGACGATCAAGTCATTTTTGAGAAGACACATAAACCTCATTCCGACAAGCAGCCTTCATGGACCAGGAGCCCGTACCAAGGGACGCTCTGTGCCAGTATTACCACTCATTAAACATTTCCATGGAAGAAGAGGCCATTATTCTAAAACATGGAGGTTCATCAGCCCTCAGAAAAGCGCTTTACCTTTATCTCAACATTAAGGCGGATCAGGTTATTTGGTTGCCTGCAGGTTTAATGTTTATCAGCCCACTCTCTGTAGAGCCCTCTGATGTATTTTTGGATTTATAAATTGAATGTGATTGTAAGAAAAAGCTGTTTTTCACTAAATATTCTGTCCAAAATGTGAAAAAAAACAATTGCTTACATGGGAACACGATGACCTTTTAAATAAGCCCAAAAATGTTACTGATGTACTGTTGTCATAAAAAAAACGAGTACTAATCCCTTTAATATGATTAGAAACCTGAGTTTTATTCAGTTTGCTTTCACCTATGGCAGAAACCAAATACAACCTCAGATTAGCATATTGTTTACTTCGTTAAGCAGAGCTTACTGGTTTAGTTACAATTAGAAAATGTACTGAGTTTGTTGTCAGTTGCAGCTAAATATTTCCCTTTTAAATTCCATGTTTCTTTCAGATGTGTACCTCTTGTATCATGACGGGCATATACTTATTTTCTTACTATTTAGTAATCTAAATCATTGTGGAAAACTCTTCATAATGAGTTTAACAAAAAGCAATTATCATTGCTCAACTGAAATCAATGCTTCTTTATTAGTATTGAGTTATGAAGATGCTTCTGATTGTCCCTATCTTTGCCTTTATGTTTTTGTTGATGTCCGAATGAAATGAATGGTTCTAGATGTATTTTTATTCGAGAACAGAAATATTTTCATAATGATTTTCAGGCACTTGCAGGTATAAACCTGAATCTCATCACATGGAAAGTGGGATTCAAATTTGTGGCCAAATAACATTTATTTGTCCAGTTTGTTAGCTACTGTAGTAAAGCTACTGTTTCTAGTCAACCAGAAATGTAATTGACATAGTGTGAAGGTTAAGAAATATACATTTGTTTAGGTGTTTGAAGGACGTTGCATATATGTTATTTCTCCACCTTTTTGTTACCAATGTGCACTTTTTTTTTCCTTTTTATATTGTTTCTTTCCTCCTGAAAATATCCAGCTGCAGTCAAATAGGTAAAGTCACTTAAAGTGTAATTGCCTCTGATTCCTTAGATTTATTCCAAAAAGATCGAGAAAAAAAAGAGAAGATGGTAAATAATCGTCTTTCTTTAAAAGTTTATTGGTGGTTTATAGATGCAAATGCATTAAAAAGTAAAATATCCTATTTACATTTAGAACTCAGTAATATTTCTGCAGCAACTAGAATGCTTTTGCACTTTGCATGATCTCAGATAAATAGTTCATGAATGTTGGAACAATAAAAACCATGCTGTGTGCCAACACACATCTAAGAATTTTCAATACTGCAGAAGAGCTCATTTAAAACACTCTAGCAATGGTTGAAGAAGCAAACTTGTCAATGCTCACTGAGTTACATTAAAAAGTGTCAAGTTTATTGTATCCATTTTTTTTCTTGTAATATCATTCAGATGCCTCAATAAATTAAAATATCAAAAAGTTTTGGATTTATAAATGAGCATGTAGTTAAACACCAAGTGACATTTTTCTGTTTGTGGTTTATAGATGATTAAAGATTTCTACTCAAATGTGTTTATCAAACACATTTGAGTAGAAATCTTTAACCAGTTAAAAATCAGTTGGATTTTTGTTAATTATATTGCAAATACTATACGTCCACTCAGTAGTTTTGCTAGAATTACTACATCAAAATCTTGTTGACAGCTGTTTTAGGTTGAGAAGTTTAATCTCTATAAATCCTGTCAGCAGAGGAAGCATACCATACCCTAAAATGTCCTTGCCCATCTGTGTGATGGCTCCTGAAACTCTTGAATGCCACACAATCCAAAGGGCTGCCAGTTTTCCTAATGCTACAGTAAATTATTTAATTCTTTTAATCAGTTTTTCCTTCCACTTAATTTTCTATTGAATAACTTGAATGCAGAACTTTGTTCAGAAAGCCTCTTTAGCAATAACCTTTTGTAGCCTACCCTCTGAGGAAGGTGTCAGTGACTTCATTGGGAGTCTTGTAGGTCATAAAAATCACTTTTTGTACAGATTGGTCAATTTTCTAAGACGTGTATTTATTTGATTTTATTGCTGTCATTGTGGTAAGCCATTTCAACCAAAATGAACACAGATGAATCGTAACTATCTGTATATTAATTTCTCTTTTTAATGGGTTTTGGGTTGCCTTTGTAGTAATAAAAGAGCTTTTTTTTTATTTTGTGAAAACAGCCATATTGCCCCACCTTAAGGCTGCCTCTTTGTGCTTCACTGCTGAGTAGAGTTGGTGTATTATGCATGTATAATGACTGTTTCATTTGCAAAGAACAATTTGCTAAAACCATTCTGCCTTGAACAATTGTTTTGATAGACAAATAAGACGGGTGGTACCAGTGAATATAAGGCAAAGTATTGTGGATCTGTTCAGAAACACATCACTAAGATATCCTTTTATTTTTTATTTATTTTTTAAGCATGATTTAACATTGCAGGGATATGGTATATGCAGAAAACTAATATTTTACGAGAATGCAGTTTGGCACTCTGGTCTCATTTCTTATTCATGCAGTGACAAAACCAATCTGTGCTAAAAAGTCAGAAAATAAATCAGCAAAACACCACTAGTTGGAACTGTTAACGGTTTGCCTTTGACAGCATCATTATATAGTCAATGAAATAATTATTAAACCATGCTTTATTGTTTTGCCATGTTCATTGTATACTTAAGGTAAGAGACCTTTAAGAAAAAAAAAGGAAACTGGCACTAACTTTCAGTTAAAAACTAGTGATCCTGCAGAAACACTAAAGATAAAAGGTTTCAGAACTTTCATTAAAAATCTGACTTCCAATCCAGTTAATGTGCATCTTTTTGAATGAATTTTTGATGAATTTGTTTTTTTCACAAGTAAAAAAAGACATCGATGAATTTTCTGCTCCAATGTATTTTAGAATTTACACTTTGGGTTGGATGAGAGAATTAAAGCCATCCTTGACTATGATCCAGCTCAGATGTTGTTTTCTTTCAATAAAACACAAGCAGCGTAATAAAAAAAGCTGCGTATTTACTAGCCTACAATATGCAGAAGGACAAATTAGAAAAAAATGAAAAACAAAAAATCGGAGAACATGCAAGTTTTTGTTTCAACTTTGAGCAGACGTCTGGAAATAATATGTATGTACTTAGAGCTGTGCAACAACCCAAGCCTGTAATGGATTCTAACTGCCATCCAAAGCACTGTATTTATTTTTCCTTTTATTAAATAATTTCCTTTTGACAATCGGCTATTTTGTACATTATTGAAGTAAGGAACCATTGAACTAATCCCTCTGCTGTGTAGGAGCGTAGCAATGGCCTCCTTGTACATTTTCAGACTAAATTCAGTGGACAATAGGGTTGTTTGTTCATCAGAAACACAGATCAGATTCTTTCCATGGCACCCCCCTAAAGTAACAGACTTTAACTTAGAGTTGATGAATAGGAGACATTGTTATCCATTAGCACTGATGGAGTCCACATGAGCTCATGGGTTTGTTTGTTTTTTATTTATTTTATGCAACATAGGAACATCTGCAACATCCAAGTTAACAGATGGGAGTAGTTTAAATAAAAACTGACTCATTCCTTATGGATGATAGCATGTTTTTCTCTTTGTCACCAGCAGAGGTCAGTCTACTACAGCATCACACTGGAACAAAGGCCACATTGACCATCTGTTCAGTCTGCATTGCCTCATCATGTCTGCTGAATGAGCCATTTTAACAGATGTCTATTAACCTAAATGTCATTTTTATTCATCAGTGATGTATGGACATGTAAAATGGGAATTTAAAAGAGTAAAGGTTCATAAGAATACATTCTTCTACAGTGTGAAAGTTCAAATTCCTTTTTCCATCAACTTTCTGCTTCTTCTTTATGTGCCTCACCTCCTCGGTCATCCTCCACATCAGCAACAGCTGAGCCAACTCCTTATCTGACTCTTCTGCTTTGCGTCGGTCTCAACTGTTTACTCTGCAATTAAAACACAGCCTATAAAAGGCAACCGGTTGGCTGCCAGATCCTAACGGGTGGAGATTCAGAGCAGCAGGGAGAGAGGTTATAAATCGCTTTGATGCAAACCTGGGGTCTGAAGGCCCAGATTCCTTTGCTGGAGGACTGGAGGAGTGAGTTCACCAGGAAACTGGGCCAGAAACTCTGATGATTCATGGGATGTGACTGCTGCTCACTTGGAGAGCATGTGGAAGAATGTGTATTGTGCTGCTGCTTTGGGGAGCAGGGTTACATTTTTTCTAGCGTCTTAACCCAGACGTGTGATTTGTGTAATCACTCACTGTTATATAAATTGTTATCTTTCATCTACAGCTGTGAAACCAGGAGCAGCAGCAGCTAGACTATATTATCGCCTGTTTCTTGTGTCCAGACAAACTCTTAACGTCATTATTCCCAAGAAACTACTTATATCCAAGGTATACCAATATAAATATAATTTCTATAAAAAACAATTGAAATTAAAAAGAACCACAATCATCCTTGTATTTTATGTGTGTGAGATAAACATTTTCAGGATTTTTTTTAAAAGTCAAAATCAAAAGGAAAATGAGGAACACCATCACATCTGAAAAACACAGTGGTGGCAAAGTCATGCTGTGGGGAGGGTTCTTCTTTAGAAGCAAGCTGACCGGAGCTAAATGTATGCACTCCTTAATAATAAAAAAAAAGTAAATCAAAAAACAAAACACATAAAGTCAGAGCTACACTCCAATGGTTAGGATGTATTAGAATGGTCTAGTCAAAGTCTTAATCTTAATTTACTTAGAATCTGTGCCAGACTTTTCCAATATTTATTTATACTTGTATGAGTATAGACTCTAAATAAAAAAAATATATACAATTAGGCAATAATATCACAGAGATATGCTCTGCAGGAATGGTCTATTCTGATTCTCCCCTAAAATGTTCCTGTTTGTAACTACACCATGGCAGTTTTATGCTCAATTCAGGATGTCAGGAATCATGCTGAGATATGGGAGAGAATGGAGTGATCGATTTAAAAGATAAAGGGGTTTTGAAATGAACTCATCTGTCATTCAGTGAGGTCGTTTAAATCTAGAGAACTAGTAGTCCCTGGCATCTGATGCAAGGCTCAGCAGCACTGTTGCCATATAAGGGTTGCTGGAAATCTTCCCTGTCTCCAGTAACCTTGCAAGCTGCTGAATATTCTGGAGGCTTTCCACAAAGTTAAATCTGATCCAAAATATTTTGTATAATTTCTCTTTATCTGTTTGTTTAAGTTTCGGCAAACTTCTTCACCTTTAATTTACCTCCTGTCAGTGACATAGCTGGTGGATAACATCTAACCAGATGTTCCTTTTATCATTTTCAATTATCTCTATATTTCTGAACACACATGGACATGTGCGGTTCTAGACAGGAGCCTACAGGGGTTAATTCCCTGGTCCTGGCCCCTGTTGGGGCCCCTGTACTGAAAACATAGTACAAAAAAGAAAATACGAATGATAATGTCTAAAACAGACATAGTTAGTGATAGGACCCTTGGACACATTTAATTTCTTTCTTTACACTTCTGGTTTAATTATCTCAAAATTAAGGTGATGGCTTTAGTCATTTGAGATAGGATCACAGTTTTCATCTGATAAAGGTTATTCTGAACCCAATAAAGAAAAAAGTGTCAGTTTTACATATGTTCTAAGATGACTTGATTAAAACTGGTCTTTTTTATATAAAACGGGTGAGAAATATGCAATATTCTGGAATTATTAATGTAGGTCGACCGTGATATTCCAAAAATTATGTTTATTTTAGCTTTTTGTTTATATTCATGGCTTTCTTTTCCTATTTTAAGGGATTTAAAAAAAAATATATATCCTTTTATTCCTTTTATCTTGATTTGATTGTGTGAATGTTTTTTTTTACCCATATTTTAGCTGTTTTATTTTTTATTTATCTTATGTTTTATATATTTTTTCTGTACGGCACTTCGGTCAGCTGTGGTTGTTCTATAAGTGCTTAATAAATAAAATTGGGTTGGATGGGATTTTCAAGCCAAAAAATACACATTTCCAATTAAAACAGCATAATTTCTTAAAATAAATGACTGGAAATTTCAATTCATGGAAAAAAATCTCAGCCCTGACAAGAATCAACAAATTAAAATCATGATTACAAAATTTTGTGGAGGCCAAGAAAATTTTTGATGGGAAATTTGAAACTTAACCCTTTATAGGGCAAGTTACCGTTTTTGATTTACTTGCCTTACAAATGGAGCCATTCAGCAAAGATACTGCTTCATGGCTGTACATCTGATTTTGGTATTTGACCAATTATATGAGCCCTATATAAGTCAAGAAAAAAACATTAAAAAGCTAATTGAAAAGTTAAAAAGTAAAGTTATAAAGTTAATAAGCCTCGTTAACAATTATATTTAGGTTTACAAACTAAAAAATGTAAGTGTCAGTATCAGCATTAATGCCTCTAAGGTTATGTTGGACCAAAAAAAATGTTTTTCATTGTGTGAGTGTTTTTCATGAATTTCTTATAGAAGCACTTTTGTTATTTTTCGTAATATATTCAAGAAAGTTGGTGTTTTTTTTGTTATTACATTGACATTTATTTTAGCCAACAAAATATCCATATTTTTTTGAATGTTCCAAAGGTAATAAGGTCTTGTCCTGGATTTCAATAACACTATTGGCTAAATTTATTTATTTATTTATTTATTTTTTTTTTTTTTAAGTATTTCACTGGGTGCCTTATAAAGGGTTAAGTTAAAATATTATCATTTAATTTTGTATTCACAGGGATTATCATTGTCCTAATTTTTTTTTATTATTATTTTTTGCTACTTGCTTTGGTTCTGTTTTATCTTCCTTTATTTTAATCATGTAAAGCACTTTGTATTGTCTTTGTACTGAATTGTGCTATACAAATAAATTTAACTTGCCTTGCCTAATGTTCTGCTTGGGCTTTTATGTTAGTTGGCCCCAACTGGCTCCCCCCCTCTGTTGGCCCCTGTTTAGAACCGCCCTCTTGTAAGGGAAATTAAAAAATAAATTTAAAAGAAATGGGAAAATGAATGCTTGGTAGTCTTTTGAAGGCTTTATCTGGGACGTTTGTGTGAAGGGGATGGGGTTCAGCAGTGGACTCTTTCCAGTCAGAAAGGAAAAGTGGGATTGAAGCGGTGACGTTATCCCTGCTGGAAAGAGAGAGGGAGGGGGGAGAGAAAAGAGGGAGGGCTGGACTCCATTAATCCGAAGCCTGCTGCTGCCTGGAAAACTGTTTGGGATACTTCACTTCTTCAGCGACTTCTTCGGGGATTTCTTTCTGTTTTTAGCACCAAGTCCAGAGCATATACATGATTTAAAGAAGTGGGACTCATTCTGCGCCGTTTAATCTACTGTTTAGGTATTTTTTTTCCGTCTTTGTGAAGGTGAGTGTCCACATTTAAATGCTCGTCCTCTAAGATCAGCTCGTTCGCCGCTCGGAAATAAGCAAACCTCTTTTTTTAATGATGATTATCGCGAGACTTTCATCCGTTTAATTAAAAGTTGACTTTTGTTTATCTTTGTGAGTTTTTTGGGGGGGTTATTTTTTTTCCTCCTCCCCTACTTTTAGTTGAACTTCTTTCTTCAGGGACCGACTGAGTGGGTATATGGTTGCATGGAGCAGCCGGGGAATTGCTGCTGCTGCTGCTGCTTACATAATTAAGCCCTATTTGGGAGGCAGCCGTTACCGTTAGTTTTAACAACAGGTGAGGAGGCGGCGGCGGCACGATGACGTAGATAAAAGCTGCCAAAGGTCTCTGCTGCTCGCGGGAAACGAGGCTTTGTTCCGCCGTGTTTTTATTGCGTTGAAAAGCCAGGCCACCGAGTGACAGATACACGGACGGTGGTAACTTTTTGGCGGGTTCTGTGTTCAACAGGGGAGGTTTTATAAAGAGGAACCAGGAGTTCTGTCAGACCACCATACCCATAGTCAATCCATGTTTATCCCTTTAGTTTTGTACTAAAAAAAAGCAATTTAATTACTTCCTTTTTGGTGTATTTTGAAGCGTGGCGACCTGACCTTAAATATATTTTTTTAATATTTTTTTTTAGTTTGAAGTGTATTTTTTGTACAAAAATAAAGTGAGAAATGGGAATAGCATACATGTATGCAAATATGATGTCTTATATTGACTATGGGTATGCTGATCTAAAAGAACACCTGTTTAGCTTGAAATCCATGCTTGGTAATTGACAAAAAAATTAACCAAATAATTTATTTTTTTTTCATATAAATGTAGGGGAATCTGTAATTTTTTTTTCAAAGTAAGATTCTATGAAGAGTTTATCTGACATTTGATGAAACTTTACATCCTTGCATTATATATATATATTTTTTATATAGATTTTATGTTTGAAATAGGCCTGGGTGATATGGCTTAGAAATCTAAATCTGATCAGATTTTTTTTCTCCAAATTTCAATTGATTGTTTTTTCTTAAGTTTCATGGTTAAAAATTACAAATGAGACACATTACTTTCAAAAACTAGGTTTAATTTCGCTGATCCCCTCTGGGAATCAACCTTTATTTAAAGAACAACGAAATTTCAGCTATGAAAAATGCTTTTAAAACAATCTTTGACAACAAACAAGGAAATTAAAATAAGATAATGATTACAGCCAAGTTGAGCTAGTTTTGCAGTATTAAGTACAGATCTAAGAGCAAATACTTATGAACTGAAGTCGCCCTCAGCTATGGAAGCTCAAGGAATTCATTGATAAATTAACTTCAAAAATGAAATCTTTATGAACTGCATATTTTATTAATTGATATTATTAATTAATCACCCCATCCTGGTTTTAAGTTGCGTTTAATTTTATGTACAAGTTTTATTTTCTGACTGGAAGTCATATTAATGGAGTGATCTAAACTTACATCTGACAGAAAAGTTATGGAGCTTTTAACTCATGACCAAATTTATCAGGTTTACTGAGTAAAAGAAATATTAGATCAGCTGTATTAAAACTGACTTTATAAACAACAAGAATTTCTTATCACATTATTAAAGTAGACACATTTATAAGATAAAACACATATATAAAAATCCCACACCCATCTACCCTGCTTATTGCCAGCATTTCTTTTTCTGTTTTCTCCATTTTTCATCACATCCTTGCCTCCTGAGCACATAAGAGAAGATGATGCTGCTCCACCATGCAGCATGGCTAAATTGACACTATTTGGGTTTATACGATGTATATATTTAGCAACAGAGTTGTATAAAATTCATTCAGCATCCTTGTCACCATTAAAGAGCTTTAATTACCCAAGGAAACATTGTTAGCTCATTTCGTCTGGTATTCTCTTACAAAAATACCAGTGAGGCTTTGCTTATGAACAGTGGCCCCCTCTAGTGGATGGTGTTAGCTTTAAAATTAATTCTTAGAGCCTCATTATCAAATATCTGATGGAAAAACGTTTAATCTAATTAACTGTCAGCTAATCATAAGTCGATTTGAATTTTTTTAAAAGTAATTAAGATTTTTGAATGAATGGAACCAAAAAAGCTTTAAAAAATGGACCTGTCTGTATCCAAAGCTATCTGTTAACTGCTGCAGGCATGAGCCAGGGAATAGAGAAAGTTTAGAATAACAGCAGAATCGTAGTTGTGTGAATCCTTGGTGAAGGATCAGAGGCAAAATGTGGATGTCAAACAACAATTAACATTTCTTTAAAGACTTTAAATGGGCTTTGCACATGTTTTGTCTATGTTGTTTCTCCACTTAACATTTTTTTTTTTTTTTTTTTACAGGATGGCTCTGGATGGGATCCGGATGCCCGATGGCTGCTACGCCGATGGGACGTGGGAGCTGAAGATGCACGTTACCGACCTCCACAGGGATGTGTCTCTGAGGGTCACCGGAGAAATCCACATTGGTGGTGTAATGCTCAAACTTGTGGAGAAACTAGGTACAGGGGCATTTGGTTTTGTCTTGCATGGGTATTGTCTACTGACTGATTTTTGACTTGATTCATATAAATGCATTGATTTAGAGTCTCAAATAGCTGTTTTTGTTCCATTTGTAGCCATTGGATAACTTTTCTGCCTTCTGCATGCTGTGTGAGAGTGTTGTGTATGTTTTTGAGGCTGACTTCTGTTATCTGGTCACATTTGTTGGGCAGTAAATACCTCATTCTTTCAAAGTAGGCACCACTCTGAGGATTCCGCAAGCATTGCAAAAGAACAAAATGTTACTGAAAGCTTGAGTCAGCAGCTGACATTTTGCCTTATTCTTTTGGCCGGGAGCCCAAAAGAATTCTGTTTATCACGGTCTAGAGAGGAACAATTCCTTTTACAGTTTGGTACTTTCAGCAAATGTCCCTAATTTTGGATAAAAAATAACAATTTAGTGCCTTTCAGCCATGTTTTATACCTTGCTAAAGTAATGGGACTTTATTCGTTCAGTCTAGGTTGGATCCACTGGATCTCATATTATGTCTAGCATATGATAACATAATGGTTAATTAACTGGAGATGTAGGGCAAGTTTTTGGGTGCCTTGTTTAATTCGGCTCTTTTTTTCTTTTTTTTTGCCAGACTAGAAAGCTGTCTGTAATTTTGGGGTTCCACAAGGCTCTATTCTTGGGATTCTTTTATTTAGCAGCCATTGTTCAGATTATAGTGCGCTGCAGCATCTATAACCACATTTATGCTGATGACAAACAGCCTTGTTCTTCTCTACCACTATAGTTTGTCACAGTCTCTTAGTTAATGAGAGGATGGATTCAGTTTTTGGAAGCACAGTATCTGCCAAAGTTGATAATTTGCCAACATATCTGTATCATTCCTACTAGTTAAGCGGGGCTGATATTAACAGATTTTTTTTCTCCACCTTGTTGCTGTGTTTTTTTTATCTGTTTCAGTAGCGGGAGGGGTTGATCATGTCGTGTTTGTTTGGAAATTAAAGAGGGATGGTGATGCAGAACAGGAGTGTGGGATGCTTAACTGAGACGAGAAGAAATGTTATATGGGACATTTTTTTTATATTTTTTTTCACTGAGTAAAGAGGGTAGGGTGTATACTATACTGGCAAAAGAATGAGGTCACTCCATCAATTCAGTGAAATTTAGATGTTCCAATTGCCCCTAAACCTCAACGATGTTTACAGAATAAAGTTGTGATTGCTTGGAATCATCAAGTGTATATAATAGAGGTAAAACACTGCTACATCTGCTATAACTATAGTAACCTCAGATATAGCAATTGGTTGACATTTTCACATCAGTGCATCCTTAGTCAGGATTTCTACCTTTAAAAAAATAATAAAAAATGCCATTCTATTTGGTTCAAATCCCAAGTTTGACATCAGATGGAATACATTGATTAGAGTTAGAAAAAGGCTTTTTTTTTTTTTAAGAAAAGCTTTTTACAGCACACATCAGAGTTGGATGTCAGGTGCAAACCCTGTAACCCTCAGGTCATCAGACGGTCTTTTAATGTTTTCTGTCATTGGACTAGAATGAGGGAAAAAAAGAAAAGGAGGGAGCTCTGAAACCAGCTGCCTTTGAACTGCTAACTTTAATCTTTGCAACTGATTTTCAGGAAAGGTCAAATGTTATTCATGCATTTTTTTTATTTATCTTTAAATGTGCATTAAATGATCAATTTTACATGTGATGCCTAAACCTGTAGTAGCTCAGTTTAATTGACCCCCTTTGCTTACCATATGTTTTTTTGCATCATCATTTGATTGGCCAACAGAGTTTTCTTCATAGACCTGCCTTGTATTGCAGGATATATAAATACAGCCGGTTGCATTAGGAAACCATACTGCTACCCTCCATACTTGTACTGTTCTGTATGCACTGAAATGTTACGGAGAAGTTTGGGTGCCAGTGAGCATAAGAGCCCTCTGTTCCACTCACTTGAACACTGACTCGTTTCATGACGCCTGGAGAAAAGGTCAGCGGTGGTGGCAGTTCCATTTAGCAGCGATAGCTTGTTGTGTGCCGATGGTGCTCAGATGCTCAGAATTCCTGCAGAGCTCCAAGGTTTTTATCCCGCGTCTTTGGGTCCCGTTTTAGCTCTCCTGTTGGAGCTCCACATAATTGAGGTCTTTGTTCTCTGCGGTCGTCTATGTTGGGATACATCCATGCTCAGTAAAGGGCAGCGTTGGTTCCATTTGTAGGCTGACAGGGACTGCTCCTGGGACCAGCCCTTATCCATTGTTGTTGTGTAATTGAGATGATTATTTTCAGGCCAGCCGAGTTACAAACACAAGTCTTGTTTTACAGAACGGTTTATAAATTTAAGGTAATGTTGCAGAAATGTCTTTATATTTCTGCAGCCGTTTAGCTCTTCCTCACTAGGTGTGATTCATTTGCAGCCCTCTGAAGTGAGCTTTACTTTAACAGTCACTCTCATATTGAGTAGCAGAACATTGGACTGTTTATTTTCTACTAGTGTTCTAGTGCGTTTGTGCAACTGACAGCTGAGAGTGGGAGCATCTCTACTACCTTAAGGCAAAAGGTTGTTATGTATTATATTCATTAACTAAGCTGCAGTGTGGACTTAACATGTTGTTGGTTGGTTTATATGGATCTTTTTTGTTCTTAAAAACAAGCAGTAGGTTGATTTTAGAAATGTGTTAATTTGAGGAAAACTGTTTTTTTTTAATTATAATTGACAACAAGTTTAGATTTCCTGTGCGATTCTATTGAAGAGAAGAAGCTGGAAGATGTTGTGGCTAAATCACAAGACTATGAAGTACATGACTTTATAATCCACATTTAAAGATGACTCATAATAAAGTAAATCCTGTCCTTCACAATCACATTATTTATCGTATTATAGAACAGCTGAACTTAGTAGGTTTGGGTCTATAGGATCTTGTATTCTATTTTACTTTATTTAAAATAGTGCTCACTGGTAAGTGCATCTTTCCTTCACACCCAAACATTCTTAGCCTGTTTTATATCTGTTGATGTCAAATGCTTATGTTTGTTTTTTTTGTTTTGAATTGTCATTAGTACACATGCATGTGCTCCCACACGTGAGTCTTGCAGTGGGTCGGTGGGTGTGTCTCCTTCACATGCATTCTTCTTCTATCATTCGACCCTTCTTGGGTTCTGTAGGCTCAAATGGCCTTTGATAATGGATTAAATAGACAAATGCCAGGAAGCCACTTAGGTATTGATCTCCATAACGGACCCTCCCTCCGCTTTCCCCTTCAAACCTGCAGGAGAGCAGTATTTAAAAGGCAGCTGATTAACCACCCCACGGCTACTTTATCTTTTCATCCATCCATCATCTAGACTTTCTTCTGTTTTGCCCATGTTTTTCTAAAAACAACATTTTTTCTTTTTTTCTAAAAGCCCCTCCATTAAATAGGGAAAATAATGTACATACAGCAGCAAGCTGCATGAGATCTATTCAGTTTGAACGGACTGTGTAGAGAAGGATTTGCATGTGTATTTAGCTAAGATAATCTGACTAGTTGTGTGAGTTTCAGCTAGCTTGTACAAACTGAAAGCTGGGCATGCTGGTGCTTTTGGAAAAATAATTTGTCATTCAGAAATATTCATAGTCATCCATCAGTTTTAATATAGAAGTTTATCTGAATGCAGCCAGCCTGTTCTATGTGTGAAAATAAATTTCTCTTTGTTAAATCCTGAATATTCTGTGAATAACACCATTTTTCCAAACTATAATTCTAACTGAAAATAATTCTTTAGTTCCGTTTTAAAATTGCCAAAAATATCTTGATCTTCTGGGCTTTTGGTCAAAAATTCTGTGGACCGATGAGACAAAAGTGTAACTTTTTAGAGAAATAACATTTCAGATAAAGATCATACCAACAGTTAAACATGGTGATAGTAGTGTGATGGTCTGGGGTACCTCTGGATGATTTACTCGATCGAGACGTGAATTCTACCATTTACCATCTAGCAGAAGATCCCATAAGATAATATCCGGCCTTCAGCTTGTAACCTTAAGCTCAACGCTTACTGTGCGCTCACACGGAATGCGATGCGGATGCTGTGCCACTGTGGTGGAGACGTGCTGCAAAACATCCCTCACACTGAATGCTCCAGCTGCCGAAATGGCCCTTGAGATAAAATTTATGTGGGTTCATGCTCTTTCCAGGAGATTTTTTTTTCCTCCTTCCTATCCTCCAATAACCCCGTTGTATTTCCTTATATTCCTGTTTTTCGTTTTCACTAATAAATTTAGAATAAGCAGTGTTTTTTTTTTCAAATACTACATTTTATTTAAATTGAATCTTTGAAGAAGATGATAAAGCAAAGCGGTTCACAGCATAGTACATAGATGGATGGGTGCTAAGAGGGAACTGGGCCTGATCTTTCTCCCTACTTGCCATCTCCCCTCATCGTGACGTGAGCCACGCTACTACAATTCCATAAAAGTCTTCCATGAAGCAGGAAATGAGCTCCAGGGATAGGCATGTTTCTCTCTGGTGGCTGCTGTTGACGCTGGAGTCTCTGCTGCTGTCTTCATCGGCCTCCCACTCTCCCTGCGGACCCTCCCTCTTTTCCTTTCTCCCCATTTTCACCTTGTTTTTCCTCATTATGACAATCAACTGTATTTTTAATGGAAGTATTTTAGATTTGTTTTATTTTTAAACATTGCTCTCAAATATCTTGGCTCTGTCACAATGTAGCAACACGTCAGTAAATGATCAACTGGGAGCTCCGAACTAAGCGTGAGGCATTCTTTCATTGTTTCTGACCTGGGTTGGTGTACGTCCACTGTTCAGCGTTCCAGAAATAGAGCTTGAGCCAAATAATTTGTCTGGTGTGACTCTGTTTAGTGCATGTGGCTGTTTCTAGTGAGAGGCCTGCAGATTTTGGCTGCTCTGCCCAACTTTTCTTTCATGGAAACCAAAGTGTGTTTTGCATTTGCTGTGACCTAGATATTCAGATACCAAGTAATGGGCAATCTCTCACCAC